GGGTAAAGACACAGTGCACAAGAGCTGGGCTGCGCATCTCCAAGTCACCGGAATGTGGGCTGAGTCATCACCAGAAGTCTTGGGGAGGAGATCTTCCCTGGGTATCCCGTCCCTTCTGAATTTATTACCTATGACAAAGACATAAGTGAAACTGACAGGGAGGGTCTGACTCAACTCCCTCTAGTGCTGGCAGAGATACTGCTGGCCAGGCTTGCCCTGTTGTGATTTGGGCTCTGCCATGGCAGTGACCCCTGTGCCAGCCTTTGGGGCTCTCTACATGGCCAGGAGTGATGGATTCTCAACCTGTGGTGCCTTCAGAACTCCTATACCCTCCCCAGGTGAGGGAGCCTTGGGCCATTGTGGGCTGACCCACTCCACATCTATCTCCAGAAGTTATGTGGAGGTTGGGCTCAGGTGGTCCTATTTCAACCTCTAGAGCAGGGGCTTTTTCCTGCTGGGTCCACCACCCTGCTTGGAAGCCAGGGGCCTCCCCTGGCCTCACTGATGCTGTGGTGGCTTGTGACTAAAGTGAGTGAGCTATAAGGGACACTGGATTGGCCAAGGGCAGAGCCAGCAAGGCCAGGCTGGGTGAAGGAGTTAGCTCCCTTGCTCATCCACCACCCATCATGTATCCATCCATTCACCATTCATCTATCCAGCCATCCAGGTTCTCTATGCATCCATCTGTCCACTCACCTATCCACCATCCATCCACCCCCATCTCCCATTCATCCATTTATCCACCCATCCATTCACCCATTCACCATCCACCTGCTCATCTCACCACTCATCTGTCCATCCCCCATCTGTCCAACCAATTTCCATCTATCCATCCAGGCACTCATTCACCATCCACCTGTTAGTTAGTTAGATATAAGCAGCAAGCCAAGGAAATGCAAGGGAGTGTTCAGTCTGTACCTAGCAACTTACTGATTTTGAGGACTAAATCAGTTACACAAAAGTTAGCTGTATCTCCTGTCTAGTTATAAAAAGAACGTAAAGGCTGCCAAAGCACACCACCAGCTCAAGCTCAAAGCAGCTGGGGTGACCAAAAGTTTCCTTTGGGTCATTAACATGTCATTTTAATCTTGTGATTGCAGAGTCCCCTCACGTCCCCTCCCCCCAAGGGGCTTCTCTTAGGTGGTGATGGGTAATCACGTGCACAAAGGAATTGCTGTTACACAGCAAGGGAGATGTCAGTCACTGAGGAGCACATGCCCTACGAGGTGGAGAAGAGGGAGGGATTCAAACAAGTCCCCCTTACACCAATATGGAGGCAGGACATCCAGAGATTGGGGGTTGGTCTTCTCGTTGAGATGACCTGTATTTCTGGAGGATGTATTGCTATAGTTTTCACTATTTTTGCATCTTGCTTGAACTCTTTTCTTGCAGAGATGCAAGAATTAAGGACTCAAGCAGGGTGCTGGTGGCTCACGCCTGTAATCCTAGCCACTCAGGAGGCAGAGATCAGAAGGATCACAGTTCAAAGCCAGCCCAGGCAAATAATTTGTGAGACCCTATCTAGAAAAAACCCAACACAAAAAAGGGCTGGTGGAATGGCTCAAGTGGTAAGAGCACCTGCTCAGCAAGCATGAGGCCCTGAGTTCAAACCCCAGTACTGCCCCCTCCAAAAAAATTGAGGACTCCAACAAAAATTCTGGTAACACATCCACTCATTCAGTCCACTACTCTGTCTGTCCATCTACCCATCTACTGTTCACCCATTTATCCAATCTTCATTTCATCCTTCCATCTACTCTCCCACTCTCCATTCACCCACCCATTTACTCATTTATCTATTCATCCACACGTGCATCCATCCAGCCATCTGTTTTCCTGTCCTTTCATCCATCCATCCATCCATCCATCCATCCACATACTTATCCATCTGTCCACCCATGGCCCTATTAATCCATTCCTATCCATTTACCCACTTATGTGTCCATCCCCCTACCTATCCATCCCCCCACCCACCTGTCCACCCATCCACCCATCCATCCATCCACCCACCCATCCATCCCTCCATCCATCCATCCCTCCATCCATCCATCCATCCACCCATCCATCCACCCACCCATCCATCCATCCATCCATCCGCCCACCTGTCCACCCATCCTCCACCCATCCATCCATCCGTCCACCCATCCATCCATCCACTCATCCATCCACCCATCCACCCATCCACCCATCATGTGTTTCTTCTGTGCCTGGCCAAGTCTGGAGCTGGCTGGACCCCTAAGGAACCTAGTCTCCAACTCCTGGTTTTGCAGTGGTGGAAACCACTGCTGGATCAGGGAAGGGTTGGCAACTCAGTTCCAGATCAAGACTATCAACTCTCCGCTCAGGGCCTTGCGACTTGGTTTCCTTCTTGGGCGCTTGGCCCGATAGCTGGTGTGTGAGGGACCGTGGGAGAAGTCCTCCTCCCCAACTTGCCCCCACTGTGAGCAGCCCCAGCCCAAGGAGACCACGAGGAAGGGTTACCAAGTCCACATCAGCTCCCTCCTCCTTCTCTGAGGGGAGAAGAGGAATTGCCTGGCTGATAGGACCATGGGGCAGGAGGCAATGTCTTCCTCAGGCAGCAAGGGGGAGAGAATGGGGACCCATCAGCCGAGCTTGATAAGGGGCCGCTGGATGTTAGCAAAAATATTTAGACAATAAACGAAGTATCGGAAAAGCACACGTATCTTTCAGAAATCAATCATCTGAGCGGTGTCTGGACGCCTGGCGCCAAGGCAGAGATAGTGGCTCGCTGGGGAGATAAGGGTTAATCAAGGATTGAATTCTGCAGAGATGGGGGGAGGAGGGCGGGAGGCTGCTGGAGCCCAAAGGCTCTTCTGACCCCCACACTCCCCTGGCCTCATCTTGTGCCTGGGGAGGGTTTCTACCCTGTGCCACCTCCCCAGGTTGACCTGAGTCCCAGTCTGCAGGAAGGCAAACCCTGGAGGGAGGGGTGGCTCACGGAGGTGCCAGCCCCTCAGCCCTGTGTGAAGGCACACATGGGCTCCAGCTCTCCCTGGCTCTGATGCTAGTGACTCGCAAGTAACTCACCTTCTCAGAGCCTCAGTTCTGTCATCTGTAAAGTGGGGACAGTGGTACCCACCTCCTGGGGATGGGGGAGATGAGGGGAGTGTCTGCAACATACGCGCCATGGGGGAGCAGAAGAGAGAGGCACAGGACAGGATGAGATCTCCATTGGCTCTGGGCCATGCCTGCCTTTGCCTCCGTCACTCATATGGATTTTCATGACACTTTAAGATGGAAGCTACAGAGCTTCTGCCTGCGATTCTTCCTTCAACCCCACACCTCTCCCAGAAGTCTCCAGTGATGCAGATCTCACTCCCTGCAGAGCCACTTGAACTCGAGGCTTCTGACCCACATGGAGTGGGATCCATCACGCAGGCTTCTGCTGTCCTAACATCCCTGCCTGGGGCCCCCTCTTCAGCTGGCCACAGCATCCACTGGGCATGCCCGAGGTCAACAGCCACTAGTGGCTCATCTCATTGAACCCACCCAGCCACCTGACAGGTGGGGGTGCCCGCTTCTGCCCGCTCACAGAAAGCTGGCAGCTCTGCCTCCCTCTCCCTCGGAGAGGTGGGAGGTTCTGCAGACTCCAGCCTAAAGGAAACTTCGGGGCTCCTTGTGTCCTGTCCAAGGTCCCCACAGCTGAGGAAAATGGAGGCTCAGAGTGGGCAGGGACCTGCCTAGGACTCATAGTAAGTAAGCAGCCTAAAGACCTGCACCCTGGGCAACAAGCAACATAGACATGAAAGTGGACACCCTGTGTCCAGAGTCAGCCCTTGCTGTCTCACTGAGTGGCCTGGGACAAAATAAAAGGCTGTGTGGATGACCCAGGGGCCTCCATGGGGCTACACATTTGAACCTGGGAGGTCTTTTCAACATCAGAGACTTTGGCCCACATGTAGTGAGGTGGAGGGGGACTGCCAGTGCAGGGCCACAGGAGCTGCAGCTGCTGTTGCTTCCCCACAGATGCTGCTTCAGGCTGAGGTCCTGGAACTCATTTCTGAAGCTAAGGAACAGGGGCTCCAACTGCCGGGTCAGAGCTGGGTAAAGCTGCCAGGGCAGAATTCTGGCCTCTGGGCACTGGAGAAGTCCAGCCCACACAGCCCTGTCCTCACCTGCAGGGAGTGCCAGGAAGGCTGCCTTAGACAAGAGACCTGGCACCATATGGCACTGGCCAGCCAGTGCACACCAGGGGCCAAGCCATGCTTGAATGCCAGTCACCTCAGGAGACCATGAGAGTCCAGGCCCTGGGAACACTTGCACATTGAGACACTTGGTCCTGGCTTAAGAGCAGACCGGGGTGCCACTCGGCCCCCTCAGGCCAACACCATGGGGCTTGGAGGTATCTCCCAGAGGCTTGTGTACAAGCCCTGTGAATTTCTGTCATCACATCCTGTCCACACTGCAGCTCAGCTCACACTTGCAGGCCCTTTTCAACTTAAAATGGAACCCTTGTAACCCTCTGCCATAGACAGAGGAGCCCAGAAGTAAATCCAGGACAGACACACTGTGAGATGGTGTCCAGCAGGAAGGGGGCTGCCATGGGGAGGCTCTGCCCAGGTGAGGGTGCTGCGATGAAGAGGGCTGACCAGTATGTGCTGCCACGCTGACCACTGCACCACACCACCCGTCCTTGCATCACAAGGTTCTCCTGGGCAGAAGGGGGATGGCGTTCTTTCCCTCACTGAAGCCCCCAAGTGCCTTGCAGCACCTGCCCCACTTGGGCCTCCTTGTCACTGCGACACAAGGACATCATGGCAGCTCCGAACCCTGATTCTTGAGCCTCTTCCCCCTTTCTGCCCAGCTCCCACTGGAGGTTAAGGTTAACCCCCATTTCCAGGGGAGCTTCCCACCCTCTGGGACCCAACACTGCAATTCCTGTCTCCTGACAGACTCCTCCCAAAGGGGCCAGAGCCCCTGGGTTGGGGTATCAGCCAGCCTAGTTCAGGGGCTGCACACTGCCCTAGGCTGGTCCTTACCGCTTCTGCCTTCCTGGGGGATGAGGCTCTGGTCTGGATGCTCCCGGGAAACGGGCCCCAGGACAGGCCCTCGGCCAGGCTGAGTCGGGCCCGAACACACGTCTGCCCATCCTGGAGCTCCAGCTCAAGGTCCTCTGTGGAGAGACAGGACTAGGGTGAGGTTTGGCCGTGGCAACCCCAGTCACCTCCCACTGGGTAGAACCTCAGCAGGCCTGCCGAGGGGCTGAGAGGGAAGATGGTGTGTGGGCTTCTATTATAGTAATGGGGAGGGGGCATGGGAGGACTTTTTAGGGCCCCATGTCCTGCAGAGACCACAGCGAGGGATCTGTAGCTCAGGGTGGGCAGGTGGCTGGGGGCCCCTGGTTAGCTACACTGCAGGCTTGAACAGGGTCTGCAGAACCTGGCCCCACTGTGTGACATCTGCGGAACCTTGTGCAGTGGCTGAGTGGTGGCCCCACATGGTCTGTCCACCTACATCCATGCACGTGCAGAGAAAGGTTTCAGCAGATGTGACTGAATGATCTTTTTTTTTTTTTTAATGAAGGATCTCGAGGTGAGGTCAGCCTGAATTAGCAGGGGGCCCTGAATCCAGTGTCTGTAAGAAAAGGGGACAGAGAAGGCAGAGAAGACCCAGTGGACACTGGAGCCATGTGGCCACATATGAGGAGCTGGAGGCAGGGCTGAGCTGCAAGCATCAACTTGACCTGCAGACAACTGTGTAGGGCTTCTGGCCACAGACCACGATGGGCTGTTTGCTGTTTCGAGCCCTCAGGTTGTGCTAATTAGTGGTGTTAGCCACACACCTGGCTGCCTCCTGCCCTCCCTGAGCCTCAGCCTCATTGGACAACAGGGATGATGATGGCCACTCCCTCAGGGGGTGGTGCCTCCTAGGCTGCACACCTTCCGCTCAGGAGGGCAGTGCCACCTCATGCCTTGCCTGCCGCTAGGGCTGCTGGCCCACGGAGGCCTCACATGGCCTGGCCTGGTCCCCTGGCTGGAGTGCTGCGGCGGCCCCACTTCCTGGAGCCCCATCGGGCAGGCTGTGGCCTTAATGGGCGCGATTATCAGATAACTGCCCGCCTAATGGCAGAGATAAGGTGTAAATACGCCAGGAGGCCCCGCAGAGACTTTTAACTGGGCCTTTGTCTTCCCCAGGGCAGATAAGATGGCAGTGGACCAGCACTGGAGGCTGACAAGGCCCTGCACCCCTTGATTGGCCCAAGAGGAGAAGAGCTGGGGCTGAGGGGTAAGAAAGTAGCCTCTTCAGTGACCCCGGCCTGTCCTCTATTAGTGTACCTAAGACATGGGGACCCAGGGCCCTCCCAAAGGCCACCTTCCTCCCCTTCCTGGCAGAGGATGTCCACAGGGTGGACATCATTAGGGACAAGGATGGGAATGAACAGCGCTGTGTGGTCCTAAGGGGAAAAAGACACCTATTCTGATAAAGCTTCTCCCTTGTCCAGAAGAGGAAACTGAGTCCCCAGAGAACCGCAGCTGCCAGGATATAAACCTGGATACTGGTTCCAGAGCCACTGCCACCTGTCACCAGGACAGTTGCTGACCTGTCTGGGTGTTCTGGGTGTGTCTGTGTCTTTGGTCCCCATGCAGCTGGCCCTCAGGGTGGGTGTGGAGTGAGAGGATACCTCCCCAGGGCACTGGCTGCCCACTCACCCAGCCATGCAGCTGGGTCCTCCCCAGAGTGCTGGGCACTGGAGGCTCTAAACTGCACAGGCACCTCTGTTCTGCTAGGGTCCTGTGCACCCCACCCCCCGTTGCACCCCAAGAAATACAGAGAGCTAAGTGGCCATGTCCCTGTGCTTTGCATTCAGGGTCTACTCACGGGGCAGGCCTAGTTGGGCACAAGGCCCTCAGGACCCATGAGGAGACGACACTTTCATCAAGGCTGGTGCCCACCTTTCCCTGATGAGGAGGAACCCTCGATGGCTGAGTCCCCACAGATGGCACAGTGGGCCTAGGTCACCCTGAGGGGGCATGGGCAGTTCCTGTCATACCACTCCTGCTGCCCCCAGGGGTGCTGATGTCTTTCTCAGGAAGCACTAGGCTCCAGCTGCCCCCAGCCCTTGTGGGGAAAGAGGCAGAGCCAGCCCCCACCCACTTGTCCACCCACAGGCAAACGGCCCCCACCCTAATCAGAGCTCACGGCCATGGGCCCAGCTCCCAGATAAGAGCATGGCTGGCATTTTCCATGGCGGCCGCCCATCCCCTGTGTATCATTCACTGCCAGAGAGCAGGCTGGCTCCTGATAAAGGTGACAGTACCCCCGGGGAGGGCAGTACCCACCACTCAGGGTTTGGTGCTGATGGAGCCCTGTGAGAGGTGGGGCCGATACAATGGTCACCATGACAACCCACCTCCCTGGTCCAGGATCTCGCTGACCCTTTCTGAGGATGCCTCCTGAGGGTGGACATAGGGCCACAGCAAGGCTTGGAGTGGGAAGGGGAGCACAGCTGATTTCAACCCCAGCTCACCCCAGTGCCTAGTATAGGGCACGACCTATGCAACTGTCCACAGCAGCCGTGGCGACATCCATCTGCTCAGATAGCCTCCTTCTGGCTCCCCGTTCCTGCCCCAACCCCTCGTGTGGCTGAAACAGGGTCAGTCAGGTATTAAGGCTGAGTTAGCACCCAGCAGAGGCCTCCCCCCAGAGGAAGTAAAACTGTACCAGCCAAGCGGGGTTGTGCGAGGCTGCTAACTCCCTGCACAGGTGCCTGGCCAGGGCCCTGCTCCAGGCTGAGAGTGAGTGAGGGCTGGAGGGGAGGACAGCGAACCCCATGCTGGGTAGGTAGTGGTGTGGCACAGACAGGAAGACAGCTTGAGAAGCAGGGGACCCAGACAGCAGTGATGAGGAGGTGGCCAGTCCCAGGAGGCTGGGGAGTTGCCAAGCCATGCTGGCAACGTGGGCAGGCCAGGCTATCATGACCTGGTCTTTGGCCTTGTGGCTTAGTGACCACTGTCATGAATCCTCACAGTGCAGCTGGGACAGGGATAGGGGCACAGCCCCTGTTCTGGGAGCTTTAGGGAGCAAGGCAGTCGCCAGAAGCCCCCACAGGCAAGGGAAGTGCCCATGGTGGAAGGCCAGGCCCCAGCCAGCTGCTCCCTCAGCTGGGGAATGGCTGACTCTTCCAGCTCTGGCCTCGGTGTCCCCATGCTACCTGGATGGACCCCTGACAGGTACCAGGCCCAGCACTGGGACAAGGACTAGGTTCTGGGACAGAACCTAGCTGTGGGGTGGCAGTGGATCTGGCCAGAGCAGGGGCCTGAGAGTCAGAGTGGGTCTAAAAGGACAAGTCAAGCCTCGGCCTCTGCCCTAGTGGCTGTGTACATGCTGTGAGCCTCAATTTACACATCTGTGGAAGGAGGTGGTGTCCTGTACCCTGGGGCTCCTGGGCTCCCAGCACTGGCATTGTTTTCTTCTCTATGTGGGTTTGCCAACATGCCTGTGAAGCAGGCCCAGAGAACTCAAGCAAGTTACTTAAGGCCACACAGCAGGGTACAGGCACTCTGCTAAGACCGAGCTCTTTCTGATGGAGAATCCAGCCAGGCTGCCTGGTGGCGAGCTCACAGGACTCAGCCATTGCAACCTCCCCAGGCCTCAGTTTCCCCACCCGAGCAGTGGCCCCAGGGACTGTCTCACAGCTTTGCCTTGGGGAGGCTGTGGTGTGCTGGGGGATTGAATGAGCTGGGGCTCCCTTACCTGCCAATCAGCACCTCCGTAAAAAGGCCAGGGCCTGGGTGCTGATGGCAGGGCCTCTTGAGCACCAAGTCCACCCCGAAGCCCCGACCCTGCGCAGTGGGCTCTGCAGCCAGCATGTGGGTGTCCACCCAGGTCACCACCAGCACCCACTTATCTAATCGGCCCATCACTCCCGCCCGGCCCTGCCCTTCGGCTCCCACAGGCCAGCTGGGGAGCGGCCCTATCTCAGGGATCAGGCTGTTTGCCTTTGATAAAAGTCACAGAAAAGGAAAGAAAAAAAGCTGGGGGGAGGGGAGGACAGCCCCAGGCTGAAGGAGTTCTAGAAGATTCGGGGTGGGCACAGAGTGGGCAGGCTGGCAGGCACACTGTGGACCCTGAGAACATCTGCTTCCACCACCTCCAACAGAAAAATGAAAACCAAGGCCCAGAGAGAGGAAGCAAATCCCCCAAGGTCACATAGCAGGCTGGGGAGAGGGGAGAGATCAGTGGAACAGGTGTTCCTTGGACCAAGCCACACATGAATGCCAGACTTGCATATAAAATGATTGATTCTAGCCCTGGTTCTGTAGCTGTGGCCATGGCACTTGGACGGGTCTGCCTATCTCAAGCCGCAGGACCCCCAGGTGTGAACTATGGACCCAAGGACAGTGTTAGAGGGACGGGGCTGCTAGCAGCATCGGGGGAAGCCGTTGGGGCCACTTGTGCTCTGATCAAAAGCGATCTTAGAGAGGCCGAGGTTACTGAGGTCATATGGCTAGCAAATAGCATAAGAACGTCTGGCCCAGGTCCCTCTGACCACGAATCCATGACCCCACACAGGCCAGGAGGGCTCACTCACAGCAAATCCACACATCGGGCAGCTGGGTGCTATGGGCCTTCACAAGCCCTCCCACTATTCACAGATGAGTCTTGGAGCTGAGGAGCTGACCATGATCCTAAAGCCCAGCAGGAACCCAGCCCTCTCTCAGTCCCAGACCCACGTCTGTCGGCACAGCCAAGATGGAAGGACTAACCTGAAATGCATTGGTTGGGGGAGACAGGTGCGCCCCCAGGTAAGACATGGAGCGAGAGGAACCATGGACACACTGGACATGCACTTGAGCTCCGGCTTGGAGGCAGAGCTATGGAGAGAGGACTGGGGATCAAAGGGTCTGGATCCCCACAGGAGGACCAGAGCCTGGGAGTGGTGGCCCACACGGCCTGGGGCCACACCACTATGAAAGTGGCCCTGTGCTTGGACAGGGCCTGCCTGGCCCCTGCCTATGCTGGGCCAGCCACACAGCTAAGCCACCTCCAGGCGCTTTTATTTCATGTTATCAAGAGCTGGTGCTGAAGGCATGATGTGAACAGCTCACCTGCTCAGTGGAAAAATGGACTCCACTTTGTCCCCAACCTGCACTCGGTCCCCAGGGTCTGCTG